AGCATGGACAATGACAACATCCGATGAGGCGGCTCTTGGGGTGTTTGAGAGAAAGATTTTGCGGAAGATTTACGGTCCGTTACGCGTTGGCGACGGCGAGTACCGCAGACGATGGAACAATGAGCTGTATGAGCTTTACAACGATATGGACATAGTGCAGCGAATTAAAATACAGCGGCTCCGCTGGCTTGGTCATGTCGTTCGAATGGACACCGACGCTCCAGCTCTGAAAGTATTCAACTCGGAACCCGCTGGTGGTAGCAGAGGAAGAGGGAGGCCCCCACTGCGATGGAAAGATCAGGTGGAGAAGGACTTGGCTTCACTTGGCGTTTCCAATTGGCGTCAGTTGGCACAGAGGAGAAACGACTGGCGTGCTTTGCTGAACTCAGCCAAAATCGCTTAGGCAGTTACAGCGCCAAAAAAGAAGAAGAAGAAGATTTCAATATCTATTGCTAAATTTTATACAGACAAGAATAAAAAGTAGAAAATAAATAATGTAAAAAAAACTTTTTAATATACAAAGCTTTCATAAATGGACTAAAAAGTAGAAAATAATAATTGTCAGTCCCATAGAATTTGTTTTGATAACTTTTGATTTTGCAATTTTAGGAAAAGTCATTATAAACAATTTATGAGATTGAAAATGAAAAGCGTGGGGCGCATGTAATAGACCAGAACTGATATGAAGGGTAATATATGTATGTATGTATGTATGTATGTGGATATATGAATAACGACCGCTTAAAAACGATCTCTAATTTGTACTTTCTCTGTAGAAATTTTAGGTCTATGTTATGTAGTTTTACTATTGTCAATTAAATATAATGCTTTGTATTGCATGCGCCCCACGGTTTTCATTTTCATTCTCATAAATTGTTTATAATGACTTTTGCTAAAATTTCAAGATTAAAAGTTATCAAAACAAATTCTATGGGACTGAGAATTACACATTATTACATATATCTACTTTTAAGTCCATTTATAAGAGCGTGGTATATAAAAAAGGTTTTTTTATATTATTTATTAATTTTTTTTTTCTCAAAGTTGCTAAAACCACAAGCAAACAATTAAAAACTACTAAGTTATATTTAGCATTATTTCCATATGAATTCATTGAAATACATATAAACAAAAAGGATTGGTTTTGATTTAAAAAAAAATATTCTGATTATCACATTTGTATACTCTGCTAATGCTACCAAATAAGAAGCTTTGCAAAGAAAGTAGAATAAATGCAAAATGAAAAATATGAAAGAGGAGTTAATCAGTCGCATTTTACCTAGTACCAGCCATATGAAATGTCGAATATATTCAATAAATCTACGAAAAGGAAAGTACTTACTTGAATAAAAATACAAGTCTGGCAGTCAGGATCGTTAGTAACACTTGGTTTGGCAAAGTCCCACGACAAATCATCATACCGTAATCCTAGAAGGAGAGTCTGTAATATATGAGAACAGAGGGGCTTAAAAGTATGTATAAATACATACAACGTTCTTGTATTGCTAAGTACATATCTGAGTGTTTCCATAAGGCACGGTGCACATTAGAGCGATACGATATGCGATACGATGCGCGATGCGATATGAAATGCGCGCAGTGCACATTAGAGCGATGCGACACGCGATACCATTTTGTGATAGCTACACAAACTTTTGTGCCCTTAAAAGCTTGTAAATAAGTTAAATGAGTTCCTTCTCAACCGAGTTTAGACCTTTCGAATGATGGGTCTATGTTTATATCTAATAACTTTTAAAAAATTTAAGAGAAAAGTATGTTTAATATCGAGTAAAACTGATTTTTATTTTTACAAAAAAAAAAATGAGATATTCAAATTTTCATGATTTATTTCAGAATATCGCGTTCACTGCGAGGAGAAATCGGTGAAACCTGAATTAAAAACAAAAGGTAAGCAAACGTTTTTGAGTTATATATCCAAAAATTTTCTTTTTCTCATGAAAGGTTGATTAGCTTTCCTCTGATTTTTTAAAGTAAAAATCACTATATATTAAATGTTAACTTTGCATCAATTCAGGAGTAGTATAGTTGCTTTATAAAATAGTGCGTGAAAACTTTGCCAAATTTTAAAAAATACCAAAAAAAATTAACACAGAAAATACACACAGATCTCTTAAGTTTTCTAAAAGTCTATATGCATATACAGTAATCGACTAATACTCATCGTGAGCAGACGTCGGTAGCAGGGATGCCGTTTGGATCTAAATAGATCCAATTGGATACATTTTTAGACGAATTTTTGCGGGATACTTATTTTTTCCGGTCAGTATAAATGTGGATACTTTTTTAAATAGGCCAAAATTTTATATTTGCTCTAAAGTTTTTTTTCGTTCAAAAATCGATTTTCATGAAAGATGGTAGAAAGCATTACGTTTTATAAACGTATAAAGAATCGCTACTTAAGCGTCAAATTAAAGCATTTTATTTTTTGTGAACGAAGCAATGAACTTATGAAGAGATCTTACCAAAATAGGTATAAGCGCAATTGCTTTAATTAGCTAAAAGGATGCTTTAAGCAAGATCTTAATAAACATATCGTCGTTTAAAGTACAAAACCGCGTATCAACAAAATGCAAAACCGCGTATCAAGATAATGCAAAACCTCGTATGTGACGTTGCAAAAATTATTTTCTAGAGAGTAAAAACACTATTTCAAAATGGTTCTCTTTTTTATAAAGCAATCGCATTTCTGGCTAGTATATTTCAGGACGAATGGATAAGGATTGAGCCAAGAGCTTGTGTGAGCAAATCCAATATTTGGCAGCAAATGACAGTTACGCGGTTTTGCAGAATGACGATACGCGGTTTTGTACTTTAAACGACGATATATATAAGGTAAATTATAATCTTTCTGTAGTAATCTCCTTCATATCACATATTTTCATTTGTTAATATAAAAAAAAGAAGATTTCAATGTAGTTTAAAAAACTAAATTTGATTTGTTTAAGGAAACTTTTATGAATTTTACTGAAAAGACTTTAAATACACTCTAAAAATTTTTTGTTTATTTGCGCATATTGAGAGAGGTAACCAGTTTCCTCTTTTAGTGTGCAAATTTGCACGCCGTGTAATAAAATTAATCATTGCCTGTTTACTTTTACACATAAAATGTTTAAAATAAAGTAATGTTTATTATTAGTAGGAAATGTATTTGTAGTTTGAAAATTTTTGCAATTTTAAACATTCTATATATTTGTATTTATGTGTATATTTTAAAGATCTCAAGTTCAAAATCAAATACTGAACATCCTATACGTATATTTATACAGATTCTTGCTGAAAAATAGATACTTTTCAGTAGTAGTTTTACATGCTCTTTTTAGAGTGTACTTGCTATTTATTATATTTACTTTGCAAAATATTTATGCACAAAAAATGTACTTTATAAATTGAAATTACAAATGTTTGATTTTATGCACATGTATTCCAAGTCCTTAGGATGGGTTAAATTATGTATTTTTCATGAAAATGTTTGGTTTTCTTACACATTATGAGATGAATATGTAAAAAAAGAAAACTTGATACATTTGGATACATTTTTGGCTTGGTCAGGGATACAATTTCTTGAGACAGCGCGGCAACACTGGTCGGGACCCTGACGGAAACAAGTGATTATTTTTTTAAATCAACTAATTGAAAGACTACTTTAAGACAAATGCAATGAGTAAATGTTTCGAATTTTTATACTCTTTTGCTCAAAAAAACAGTTTGTGTCTTGGAAGCATGAAAAATCATCTGTGAAGTCCAGAACGCCAGCGTATTCAAAAGAAACATACTGACTTTTAAGCTGTGTAAACCAAACTCATTTTAAAGTAGTTGAAATTAAATGCAGAGTCGGACAGTCGACTTGCTGCTTGCACACAATTCAAACTGAACATTTGAAAGCACATTTACATGTCTGGCTGTAGGTGAGCGTGCAAAGATGTTTGCTACAATTGGTCGTAGCCAAGAATGTCCATGTTCAAATCTCATTTAATTTTAAATTTTTATTTTCGGGTTTTCTTAGTTATGAAAAAGCATCTGTGAAGTCCAGAACGCAAGCGTATTCAAACGAAACATACTGACTTTAAAGTTGTTTAAGCCGAATTCATTTTAAAGTGGTTGAAAATACATGCAGGAAAAGGCAATTGACTGCTTCCTAGGACATCGCCATGTTAAATAAATGAGTTCGTTGCAAGTAAAATAGTGAGAATTTCAATTAGTTATCATTGAAAATAAAGTAGTTTATAAATTACTTTCCAACTAATTAAATTTCCTGCAGGGTAGCTTCCCTCTCGGCTTTGATCGCAAGCGCAAATTCTTAGTATAAGTGTCATTTCAAAGTCAAACTCCAAAGCAACGCACGTGTTATTCGTCATGCCAAGTGCAATTTACAATTTTAAGTGTCTATTGTCTTAATTAATAAAATACCAATTAAGTACAAAAACATCCAAAATGCCCTCCGGGGCCTCCCCGTTTGGGGATAATCGGTTTGCGGCGCTTTCCGAAAGTCCCCAAGCAAAAAGACGAAAAAAACCACAAAGACTGGATTTATCCTTCCCCGACCTACCCACTCCAACAACTAAAACACCCAAATACATCGTAGTGACATAAAGAAATTGTGAAAAGAAAATTACAGATTTTTCCTGCTTTGCGGTGAACGGAGGCCTACACCTCATTTCAAAAAAACATTTTAAAAATTACACCCACAAAAGACGGCAACCTACTCGTTCTGGTGGACTCACATAAGGACGCTGATAAATTTCTTAAAACAAATTCCCTGACTGGTATTTGTGAAATCGCTTGCAAACTTCACCAATCATTGAACTTTGTAAAAGGTACCGTATATGCGCCTTGCCTCATCAACATACCAGAAGAGGAAATTATTAAGGAACTAAGCTCTCAAAAAGTGGCAGGTGTGTATAAATTCATGAAAATGAACGATGGAATCCCCAATCCAAGCGGAGTAGTCCTCTTAACTTTTGAACTCTTTAATTTGTCAGAAAAAATTGACATTTCGTGGTATTCTGCAAAAATTCGACCATATTTTCCAAATCCAATGAGATGCAAATCATGTCAATATTTAGAGCACACTGCAAAACATTGTAGAAACAATCCCACATGCGTCAATTGTGGTCGCCTTCCCTAAGACCCCGACGTCTGCACACAAACTAAATGTGTCAACTGCTCAGAAGAGCACCCCGCCTCATCAAGGCAATGTCCAAAATTTGTACAGCAGAAAGAAATCCTACAAATCAATACAACAAAAAAAAAAAATGTACTTTGCGTGAAGCAAAAGCAATCTTTAGAGCAAATGCACCAAAGCCCATTGATACCGCCAGCTACTCTTTTATTGCAGCTGGCCCACAAAAACACCAAACTCAAAGCCAAGCAAATACACAAAACAAAACTAAACTAGTACCTACAACAACTAATAATCCAACTTTTCCCCTCTCAATAACACCGAACATACCAAATTCTCAAAACTTCGCTCAACAAAAAACACCTGTTACGCAGCAAAACATCGTAGATGAATTTATCAGTTCTCTTTCCACCACAATAACATCCACCACACTCAATATCAATAACATCGCAAACCAACGATCACAGTGAACATAACAATACACACCTCGCCTCTCTTAACCCACCACTATCAATCTCTCTTACAGAAGAACTTAATAACAATGATTGCGCATCTTCTTCTTCGGTATTCTCCAATGGTGAATTCTCTTACCTCTCTTATTTCTATACTGCAATATATTATGAACGGCTACAACAATAATTACCACGAACTACTACTAATTATAAAAGAACAAAATCCCGACGTAATATGTATACAAGAAACACACCTTCCATTCAATACACATAATATCTTCTACCCGAACAACTTCACTGGGTATTTTTGTAACCTAGATACGAACCTAAGTGCAAAACAAGGTATTGGTATCCTTATCGAAAAACATATTCCACATAAAGTTTTAAATATTAACTCTACCATATGCACACTGGGGATTGAGGTACGCCTTAACCCTAAAGTGACTGTACTCAACAGCTATATACCGCCGCAACAAAGGTTCTCATCCAGAGAAATGCTTAAAATTTTGACACCAATAAGTACGCCAATTATATTGGCGATTCAACTCCTGGCGCTCGCACGATGTCAACTCCAGGGGCCAAATACTAGAGGATGTCATCCTCTCAGCCGATCTTGCTGTACTAAATAATGGTTCACCCACGAACTTATCCACACATAGTTCTTGTACCCATATTGATTTGACTTTAGTCACACCCAGTCTCATACCAAACTGTGAATGGAAAATATCGAAAGATCTTCATGGTAGCGATCACTTCCCGATAGCCACTACCTTTCAGACTCAATTTAAAACTGAAAAACGTACCAATATCGGTGAAATTTAAAACTGACCAAGCTGATTGGGACATGTA